ATATATGCCAGCAAAGCCATACTTGTCAATATAGCTGTGTATTTTAAAGGGTTGCAGCAGACCAGGAATAAATGAGGATCCTGTATAAAAAATTCAAGGCCCATGTAGCTAAGTTTTTTTCTGGCTCCAATGTATGGCTCACTTTCTTAGTTACAGCATGCTTACCTGTGCCCAAAATCTTTGAAGGGTCCTTTGTTCCATGGCTTTCACTTTACTGTTGCTATTCCTTATCCTATTTCCATTTCACATGTACAGCCTAATTTTTCCCCCATGAGGTTCATCCATTACCTAGCTGCCTTTCTAACCCATGGCATAACACAATGTAGGACAGCCTTTTTCCTTCCCACACATCTATCTTAAAGCATGCCAGAAATAATGTGAAAAGCAGCAATATGTGTGACACAGTATAAGAGCAGCTGGGTTTTGAGTCACCAAATCTCACTGAAATTTACTACCTTGCTTTTGGTCTGTAAGCCTCAGATGGTGATTGTTGTATTGACCAATGTCATATACTTCATTGTAAGCTTAATGTATTTTCAGAGATTTACTTTGGAATCTCTTGTTGAAACTATTAATGTATTACTAGGGATTTTCCATCTCAATTCTTTTGCTTGTAAAATACAATTTGTAGGGGGAAAAGCCATGGAAAATTCCAGGCGTTTGAAGATTTCACATTCTTTTGCTTTTGTTTTTAGAAGTTTCCCCTATTGCATTGATCCACTATGATTTACTTACTGGAATATCCACATACTTCATGTGAAGTCACCTTGCTTATCATTTTTCCTTCTATTTTTTAAACCAAGCATATCCAAAGACAATTTTCACAAAATCCTGAGTTTAAATCAAAAGATAACAGCAATATCTCTGTAATATTGGATAAAATTATATTAAATTTGGTGCAACTGAAACATGTTGTAAGATATTCCTTTTATATACTACATTCCAACATTTGAGTCATCTAAAGTTTGATGATGAATGTATTATTAAATTCTAAATATTATTGAAATTCATACACAGTTCTCCATAGACTTTGCTCCATACAAATGATTATTATATGACTTACTGCCTCATACAGTGTGATAATAAATCATTGTTTTATAGGCATAGCTGAATGGGAATCATGATTCCCTAGAACTCATTTAATAGAAAATGTCTCAAGGTGGAGGTTTACTGAAGGGGTCTTAAGGAGTAAAATGCTTGCATCTAATGCTTTGAGCTCCTGTCCTCCAGCTTCTGCCAACCTGGCAGGCCGAAAGTGAGTAACTATAAGTTGGTAGGGACCACTTTGATGGGCTCATTAATGGAGTCATGAAAAGAACCCTTACTTGGGCATTCCCTGGGCAACAATGATGTCACAATAATCATTTCAATCTGGAAGTGCCTTTGGTGCTTTCAACGTGAAGAGGAATGGGGGATCATCAAAAATGTTCACCAGGATGGGTGAACTGTAAATTATTTTTGCATAGAATTTAAAAATGATGTTTGCATAGCACCATTTAAGGACCAGTCCCATAAGTAGTATTTCAGTGCATATAAATAGATTGCCAAGCTATTAATTCAATATATTTTATGTATATGGGGATGGGGGCGGGGGAGAGAAAATTGGTTAATTAGGATTATAGGACTAAATGTCTATGGTGATTCTCAATCATCAGGTCATGATGATCAAATGTGCTTTTTGAAGAGGCAACTGGACGAGAAAGTATAAAAATCTACTGGGTTAAGATGCTGGCACAATAATTTAAGAATTTTAACTTGCCTACATTAGGGTCATAGGAAAAGCACCATTAAGGCCAAGTATACTTGTAAACAGTATTAGTTCTGCAAAAGGGTGGAATTTTCTCTAGTAAGGAAACTGTGGTAGCAGCAGTGAGAAAATGTGGGAGTACTACAGATGCATGCCAGTATCATGTGGTTCTTCCATAAAATGTGAGTGACTGAATCATAGCAATTTCATAATAACAGCTCACATGAAACCCCTGCCCCCTGTGTTTCTTACTAAACCTCTTTCATTTTTATGGAATCATTCCCCACCTATTTGGACCATTTCTTTTCCTTCTATTATTTTTTTGAATCATTGTGCTTATTTGGCTTGGGAACTGTAAGGCCAGTGTGAACATTCAGTTTGGTGTTATTTTGACGAAGTGGATTGAGATCTGATCAGAGAATTTTGCAATGGCACAGCAAACTAGCCTCAAGGATGAGGGGGAGGGGGGAAACGACCTTGGGCCTCATGTTATCATGAGGTACAACCAGACAGTCCAGTAAGGGGAAGGCTGAAGATTAGTTTTGCCCTTAACTTGCCTATATAAGGAGACTTTCAAAGGTTTACTTTGTTTTCACTCTTCCGTTTTGCACTGCTTCTGCAGGTGAAACCATGCCTACTACTTTTTCCACCCACAGCATGTCCTCTGGAAGCATGCAAGGACCCAGGGGAAGACGCCTGCTTGCCTTAAGCAGTTCTCAGGCAGTGCCAAGTATCCACAGGGCTAGAGGGGACATGGCTAAACTGTCATATGGTGATGGGCAGGCATTTATGGACACAAATATTCTGCACATGAATGAAAAGGGCACCATGAAAAATCTGAATGACCGCCTGGCTGCCTACCTAGACAAAGTGAGTAATCAGATAATGTTTTCCTAGTGGCAATGTCAGGGAAAAAGTAATACTATAAAGGTATGTCTATCTTTGTCTTTCGGGCATTTTTGTGGAATATGGGAGAATATAAGACAGCTACTTGACAAGGAAGATGTTTGTCTAAGTGACAAACATTCTAGCATTTTTTTCTGGAAGAAAGATACATGTGGCATCTTTCCAATTATTCAGTGTTAAAGGAATGATGTTGATAAATGTTTAGATGAATTATTAGATCATGTCCCTTCCTCTACCCAAGAAAGACAATGTTTGATAGAAAATTATGGAAGAGTATGATTTGAGAGGATAAGAGGAAGAAAATAATGGAGTCAAAAGCCAATAATTTTTCTTTGTTTCTGTCATCGGTATTCTATCTGTTCATGGCTTTCAAACATGCTTGTGGGATTAATCTTGTAAAGCTAAGGGACAAGATTTTTTGAGTGTACTTTATATTTTGTTTTGAAGTATATTACTAAAAAAAACTACCTGATCTACACTGGCAGGGCATAGGAGGTCGTTTTTTCTTGAAACATTCTGATCTACTTTTTTTAATGGGTTTTATTTATTGAGGAGACTTGTTTTTATATTAGATTGGGGGGCATATAACCCTGGGAAGCTTACAACATAAAAAATAAACAGAAAAAGAAGATAGGAGTTTTAACAGTAAAATAATATTTTATGGTGTTGTAAGGCAACAACCCCCCCCCTCAATACATCGGCCGTCAACCTCAAACCTTCTACCTTCCATTAGAAAAACTCATCTTGTGTGAAATAGTTTTCACAGTGCAACAGAGGTACTCCAGAACACAGCACAGTGATAATGATTTGAGCTTATGGATTAACAAAAAATAAATACATTTCTATAAGTCACTGTGGTCTGTGTTTTACTGGTTTTTGTGGTAAAAATGCTTTGGTTATGTAAGATTTATTTTCTTTGTTTTATATTGCAGAAAGTTATAAGTGAGACACTGAATTCAAACAATTTGGAAGTTAGCAAGAAAAGATTAATTGTAGGTTATTTGCAATAATTGTAGGTTATTTGCAATGGTCAGTGGTTGCTGTTTTAAATGTCTTGATACACTATCTTTTTATGGGATGGAAGTGGGGTAGGTATAATTTCCCCTGAACTCCATATGTTTGGTACCACAGAAATATTGTTTGATTACACTTTGATGCAATGTGTCATTAGCACGACAACACCCAGGATGGAATTGTCCTCTCACCATGGAGATGATATTCCCTGCCTACACAAATTAAAATTTCTGTCTTTATCTCTTGACATTTCTCTCAATTTATGAGCCTCTTTAAGAGCTGTAATTCTAAACACATGTTTAGAAGAGACAATAATTAACCCAGAATGTTGAATAGAGAAAATAGAGGATTTTGAAGTATAGCTAATCCTCCAGCACAGAAACAACTAAATAGATTGTAATCCACTGTCTCAGTATGAGAACATGGAATCATATTTGTAAGGATAGATTAAAATGACTTTTCTTTTCAGACTTGAGACAAAGCAAGACATAACAGAGCAGAACAGAAATAGTTCGAATTCCTTCCGTGGCAGGGACCATGTGTTTAGTCAATAGTGGTATTACACCACTTTCATTAATTTAAATACAATATATATGCAACTATGCAAATAAGCTTCCAATAATTTCCCCCCATTTAGTACTTTCTAAAGATTTTCAGATTGTATTTTTCTAGATACACTAGGAAATTTCATTTAGGAAATGTCATAGTGGATTCTGCCAATATAACTTTTGAAGACATCTAGTTTTCATGCTCCACTATTCTGTTTTCTCTGGTGATTTTAAAAAGACAGAAGTATTCTCTTTATCATTCTTTCTTCATCCAAATTTCAGGATGGAGCCAATCAGGGATTGATCAATAGATAAGTGTAGGATTAAGGTCTATTTCTCTTACTTTCCCCCTCTGTCTCTGCACTCTGTATTCCTACCAACCTGAGTAAAGCCATTTCCACACTGAGGACTTCCAATGGCATCATTCAGGCATTGGTGAGGGAAAATAAAGCCTGTTCTTTTCACAACTACAGCAACACAACAATAGTTCAATGACTTGAGAAGAAGATGCTATGCAGTAAGGAACTGGCCAAGTATACCTATGGCAGTTTTAAGAATGTATAGTCGGTTAAAGATGTGATCAAGGAAGGAAGGAAGGAATTGCAGGAGGAAAGAGGGGCTGGTTTTCTTCTGCCTTTCATTCAATCTTTCCAATCTAATTATTGACATTGGCTACATGAATGAGAGATTCTGGAAGTCTGAGGGCACCAGTTAGGGAAGTCAATTACTCATTTAAGACAGTCTATGTGTCTGTCGAATTATTCATTTATCTATGTCCAAAGCTGACAGTAGTTCCGCCTGATGATGATACTTAAAGTCAAATAGCAAAGCAAATCTAGAGAGTTTAAGATTCTGCCAGCTGTTCTTTATTTTGATATTCTAATTCAATTTTACTTTATTTTCCTTAAAACAAGGTGCTGTCCCTTGAAAAATCTAACATGCAACTGGAGCAGAACATCCAAGAGTACTACACAAAACAAGCATCAACTGGTACCCCTGATATGAGTGCTTATTTCAATGAGATGACCCAGCTAAAGTCTGAGGTATTATGTTGAAATGTTTTTTCTCTTTTTTCCTGTTCGACATAGGATGTATTAGTAACCAATGTTTCCTCTAAGCTGCACGTCTGTGCGGCTGCGCACAAAACAAGAAAACACCGCACATAAGTTTCAAACTGCAGCGCAATGATTCTTTAAATGTGACTGAAAATATCCCCCCTCCCTCCCTTCTCTCTCTGCACCGAACTCTCTCCTCTATCTGGTGATTGGTGAAATCAAGGAAGGCTCTGCCTGGCAACCAATGACGCTGCAGAAGGGAGAATTCCCATTAGTCCTATGGGGCTTCATCAATTCCTGGGGAAACATGATTCGCTGGTTGTAGCCTGCGTTTCTCTGCACATCCAGGGTTTCTTAGGCATTGTGTCGTCTGAAGTTCCGTTCTGGACTGGGCAGTCTTTCTGCGATCCCTTTGCTTCAGGGAGAGAGGGAACCAGTGTGGAATTGGAATGCCTAAGCCAAAGGGGTCCATTGGATTTTGAGACTTGAATTTTGAGCAGTACCAATCCTTTCCACTCTTTTCTTTCCCTTTATGTCCTTCTTTTATCTTCCTTTCCTTTTCCTTTTCTTCATCCTTTCCTTTCTTCTTTTCCATTTCCTTTCCTTTTTCCTTTCCTTCTTTTCCATTTCCTTTCCTTTTTCCTTTCCTTCTTTTCCATTTCCTTTCCTTTTTCTTTTCCTTTCCCTTTCCAATTTCCTTTCCTTTTTCCTTTCCTTTCTCTTTTCCTTTCCTTATTTCCTTTCCCCTTTTTCTTTTCCCTTCCCTTCCCTTTATCTCCCCTCTTCATTCTTTCCTTTCTTCTTTCCCATTTTCTTTCCTTTTCCTTTCCCTCTTTTCCATTTCCTTTCCTTTCTCTTTTTCTTTCCTTTTTTCCCCATTTTCATTCTTTTGCTTTCCTTTTCTTCTTTCCCATTTCCTTTCCCTCCCCCACACGTTCCTTCCTTCCTGGAAGTCTGAGGGAGAGGGAGGGGACCCTTTTCCTCCTTGCCCCTCTCCCCAACATCTGCTCTGATAGCAGTTACGGCTAAAAAAATGCAGGTGCTTAGGCATGAAAATGTGCCACTCAAACACTATACTTTTCTGCACACACTGAAAAAAAATTAGAGGGAACATTGTTAGTGACCTGAAACAAGACTGTCCCAAAATATTTTGTTTTTGAGGAAGAGATCAAGATGATGTCTCCCCATTTTATATATAAAAGTTAAACACATATTTTATTTTACATCAGTCACACTATTTTGTCCTGCACTACAGCTTAAGGTGGAACCTTCAGAGCAAAGAACTCTGGCATATGGCATGTGAGGTTATATCAATTTCTGTCCCTCAACGTTTGTTTCTTAAGTTAGTGGCTTTATCTTTCTCATACAATTACTTGCAGTGTCATAAAGCATGTCATAAAGCAGTGCTCAGAGGAAAGTACCAAGAGATGTGAACTTCCCGTGGTTTCTAGAAATGTTGAATTCTAACTTTATTTTCAAGAAATCTAAAAATTAAAAAAAGGGGTGAATGTGGATTTCCCCAAGCCTCAGGGTGCTGAGCTTCAAATGCCAACCCAATACTGGGCAGTGTGAAGACTCAGAAGGTGGAGGAAGGCAAGACAGCCACAGAGGGAGCCACAGGGGCTGGCTTGGCAATTTATGTCAAGACCATCTACTCCCCTTTCCAAGCCATAGTGGAAGCGGAAATGGCTGTGGAAGCAGAGTGTCAGCTGGGTACCTGGCCCAAAGAGCCAGTACCTGGGCAAGCCACACAGCCAGATTTGGACTCTGCAGGATGAGGCTACAGGAGCCAAGCTAACCCAAGAAGCAATGGCCAAAGAGATGCTGTCGAGCCGACAGATGAAGGATAGATTGGAACAGACCCCAGCCTATAAGTGGAGGGCATCGGGAACAGCAGACCCCAGATGCTCTCGGGAATGGGGACTTCCGCTACCATCACACAGCCAGTCATTGGTGGGCCTCCCAGAGCAGTTCAGCCAACTCCATGTGGGCAGCGGCTCTCCACTCCTTGGAACTGGGCAATCCCAGTGGGCCCTGCTCAACCCACATTTACTTTTCCAAACCTCAAGGCACAGCACCACCAAGTGGAGCATCAGCCTCATTCTATTCAACATGAAGTGGATCATGCCACAGCCTCCAGTGTTGGGCCCAGTCTACCAAGACAGTAACCCATGTGGAGTTTGGAACATGACAGCAGCAGGGCCCAATGGCTCAACTCAATTTGGCAATACCAGGGCCACAATCGAGGCTGGTGGGACTTAGTGTGCTGCCCCAGCAGCCTGTCTTTAGACTGTCTCCAATCAACAAGATCCCACCTGGGTGGGCATTCTCCCCTGGCCAGGGGTGGGTGCAATATCAGTGGATGTGGATGTTGCAGCCCATGCTCATCCAGCAACCACCGCTGTTCCAGCCACCAGTCATGGTTCCGCCACAAATACCAGGTCAGCAGCCAGTGTAAGATCCACTGCTGGCTATGTCCCAGCCACAAGTGCCTGCTCAACCACCCATGCAGTCCAACCATTGGCAGCTGCCCAGCAGCTGGTGCCAGCCCAACAGACTATCCCGCCAGCCACTTCTTCTCCAAGAATTAGAGCGACCTTTGATGGGCCAGCTAGTCTATTTCCTCAACCAAGTCTGGATGTACATTGATTATTATGGAGATCCATCCCAACCAACCAGGAGTTAATTTTGGTGATTGCAAATGACATGAATCAGGGAGAAGTGGTGGAATGAATAGCTGAGCTTCATGAAGAAGCCCCTGAGCCAGACGATGCAGATGAATTTGTCTAGCTGCTCTGAGGCTGCTTCAAGCACATGGCCCATCAAATGGAGGCCAAGGCCCAAATCGAGGAATTGAAACAAGCTTAAGAAGGAGGCGTTGGCAAGAGACATTTTAAAAAAAACTAACCAAAACTTCTTTGAAAATGCAAACAAACCAGGGAGGTGGTTAGCATATAAATTGAAGAAATATAAAGAGAAAGAGGGATGGAAAGTTGGAAAAGATGAATTAGAAACTACAAATTATTAAACTAGATGAGGAAAGAGAGATGTGCTATCAGAATGAGCAGAAAAAGAATATAGTGCAGGATTATTATAAGAAACTGTATGATGATATGATGATGACAGACAGATATTCGGAAGATAAAGCAATAAAATGTTTAAAGAAAGTCACACTGCCTAAAATTTCAGAACAAACAAAAATATGTTAAATGAAGAAATAAGGTTGCCAGAATTAATTGAGGCAATAAAAAAAACAAAAGAATAATAAAGCACAAGGTCCGGATGGGTTGCTAGTAGAAATGTATAAAGAGCCTACAGGATACGTTTGGACAAGTGTTGATTGAGATATACAATGCAGAATTAAATGAGACAAAGATTCCACTATAGAGGCAAATATTATATTGATTCCAAAAGAAAATACTGATTTAATGTTAATTAAAAACTATAGGTCTATCTCATTGATGAATACAGATTATAAAATATTTATGGTAATAATAGCTGAAAGATGGAAAAGGGTTTTAAATGAGTTTATACATGTGGATCAAAATGGGTTCTTGCCTAAAAGACAAATTAGGAACAATATGAGAATAATACTTGATACGCTAGAATATTATGAAATACATAGTGAGACACAAGCAGTATTGATGTTTCTAATGCCCCCAAAGCTATTGATAATGTCAAATGGAACTTTGAACAACTAATGGATTTCAGGGATAAATTCTTAAATATGTTCATGGCTATATATTCCAAACAGGAGGCCAAAGTATTAGTGAATGGAGTGGTGACACAAAATTTTAACATCCGGAAAGGTACTACACAAGGGTATCCATATCCCAAATGCCATTTATATTGTCTTTGGAAGTACTAACAAGAACAATAAGAAAAGATATACAGATTAGGAGGAGGAGTCAATGTTGTGATGATACGGACGTGTGGTCTTGATGCTCCGAGAACACAGCCGATACTTTTGCCGCTAGGTGGTCCAATTGGACCTAAAGCATCCCGAAGAGACAGTGAACAGGAAGAATACATTTTGCTGACCTCAGGGATAATGCAAAGTCCCTGATCGATGCAAGAGAAGTTTTTCAAGCCAGTGACAAAAAATCCAGCCAAGGCTACAGAAGAATCAAGCGGTGGAATTAAATTTGGAATGGTTTTGGACAGTGGTTATCCTCCTTTTTAAATGCAGCAACAGTGGTGCCAACTTGGAGAACTTCCTGCCTGGTCTGCTGGCCCACCTGATACAGTCTCCCCCTGCCTCCNCGCACACGCGCGCAGCTTAGAGGGAACGCTGATAAAGAAGTAAACAATTCAAAATAAAGGAGTCAATAGAGCAGTGGTTCTCAACCTTCCCAATGCCGCGACCCTTTAATACCGTTCCTCCATGTTGTGGTGACCCCCATCCATCAAATTGGTGTCTCGGTTCCTAAGACCATCGAAAATATGTTTGCCGATGGTCTTAGGTGACCCCTGTGAAAGGGTTGTTCGACCCCCAAAGGGGTCCCAACCCACAGGTTGAGAACCACTGCAATAGAGAGATGATAGATAATGAGAAGGCAAAAAGGACTCTGACATAGGCATGCTCCAGTTACATTGAGGCATAACCTTAATCAGGAGAAAAGCAGTAGCAAAATAATCAAGAGTCATTTGTTCAAAAATCACAGGAGTCATTAAAAGAAACACACTCAGCATAATCAACGTAACAACCACAAAACCTACACGTGACCACCAAGGAAAAAGGCGGGGTGAATAACAATCCACCCAGCGCATACAATCAAAAGGGATTCAAGAAACACTTCCCAATATCAATGCAAACACATACATGCAGTGTCTATAAAAAAAAAACCCAACAGAGGCAGTGATGATAGCAACATCAGAAAAAAATACACAATCTCAGAAAATACACATATCAATTAAATGCATAAAATATCAAAAAGATTAAACCTTATCACACATTGTCAATGAAGGGGAAGCATGAAATAGTATTCATCTTTCAAGAAAGATAAAGTATAGAAAAACACACAGGGGCATGACCCCAACCACAAGAGAGTGATCAGTTCCCAGGGAAGTCAGGTCTTACTGGGGTCCCAGCCACGGGACCAGCTCCGACTGTTTTGCCCAGAAGGCATGACAGGTAAGGGAGAAAGAAAGTGAAACCTGTCCTTAAAGTAAGTCCAGGTGTGAGCCTTCCCTTGCAGCCAAATTGTGGGACAGACTTTAGCTTGCTAACTAAACCACATCAATTTCCCTATCTAACTACTCTATGTCCCCAAAGAGGGAACTTCCAGCTTACCTCTGATCCAAAGTAGATTGTGTCCGGAAAGGAGCAGGCTCTGTGTCAGGGTTCCAAATAACACCCAAAATTAAATCAGAGTCCAAGGCAAAGTATTACTCAAAGTTCCAATTTATTAAGAGAGTCATGTTGGCACATCTGGGAAAACCTGAATCTGAAAGTTTCCTGGTTTTCCACATCCAGTTGAAAATTCAAGATCTTGCCCCCACACCCACAAGTCCATCACATGGTCCAATCTTCCACTGCCATGCTGACAGTTCCACCCATCCAGTTCCAGTCAGGTGCAGAGGTACCAAGACAAAGGATGACCTTGGCAATCTAAAAGGAATTTTATTTTGGTTACATCACATTCTACTCTGTACTATCCCCCTTCCCAATTACCCACTATAGAACAGCATAGTAGAATAGAAGTGTGGCAGGCCAAAGATCCCAAAAGGAATTTGGCTGCAGGGTTGACATAGTAATTGTTATAA